CAGATGATGATGTTGATACTAAAAGACGTTCAGTAGACAAAAAGTTCATCATTTGCTCAAAAGCTGAATTGAAAAAGGTGAGGATTCATGTATTGGTCTGCACAGATCTGCTGAATCGACTGGATTTCGACGCATTGAAACCAAATCCATCCCTACTCCGCGGATTCGTGTGGGAAGAATACTGAGTGTTGTACATCATGCTGTCTATATTGCGATTAACAGACGGAGGATGGTCAGACCTTGTTCTCGATGTCGCGTGGTCTTGTGTCATCAAGTTTGCGGCAAGTGAACATGCCATCAATTTAAAACCTTTCGACGTGTTTCCTTGGCGGTAAAGGCTGCATTTCATCGACACCCCCCCCCCCCACCACCGCATCCATCGTCACAGCGAAAATCAGCATCCCTTGCGTAATTGACGAACTTTCATGGTTGCCAGGGTCAGCCATCGTCAGTATTAATCGATTACCGACAGAACCTCAACCAAAGATCCGAGCCATGGAAAGTGAGGGTTGATGATTCTAAGTGGATGCAGATGGTAACGCAGAGGACGAAAAGCTTCGTGACGCTGGTGTCTCACGTACGCGCCATTTCGCACACGGAGGTCAAATCTGATGGCGGCCAGTGACTGAAGAACAACCCTGGTCATAAATCCCGACAGTTATCACGCCCTTGGTGCGGAACACCCTTTCTTCTCAAGCTCATCTCACGCCGCAATTATTTTTAGAGGAACTAGACCCACCGCCACAGTGAACCACTGTCGGCGTTTTCCTGAAGGGACGATACCCAAACCTCGGCGTGTGGACCCACTACTCTCTCATCACATTCTGCGCCGCACATACCGCCAACCCAACCACCCACAGCTGCATTCCTCACCGAAACAACCATAAAATCCCCCTTCCACGCAACCCAGACCCCACCCAAACAATAGTAACACTGAAACCCATTTTTTTAAACTCGACGATCAAGAAAAAATTAGCATCATCAACCACAACAGTAACGCACAAACACAAAGCGGTACCCAACGCAAACGTGGCAGATAATTAGCAGGTGCTTGAAACAAACAGCACCCAAAGGTCGGTGGAAAAAAACACATAGTCGGTGGGTTGATGTATCGACGATCACGACGACCGGACAATAATCATGGGTCGGCAACTTGACCAAGAGGGGGAGGGGAAAGGGCTGGGAGCTGCAACGATTCACTGATACACCATCAGTTCGGCGCCACGTGAACAAGGGCGGTGCCTTTGTCAGAAGTAACGACGCATCGCCGTTAATTGCCACACCAATGGCCACTGTCGGTTCTTTTCATCCCACCCCTAAGATCTCCCTGTGACGCTGCGATCAAGGTCTAGATTTTTAGCTACAAGATTATCTCGGCTTCCTTCCATCCTTCCTTCCTTCCGTAAAAAAATATATTTCCCACAAGTCGCGTCGCAAATTCCTAGACACGTTAGTATGGCTGAATTCGGTACTGGTACTGTCACTACTATTACTACTTCCACTCGGGGAAAGCAGATTCTCAGTGTGAAAATCTGGTCAGAGCGATGTTTCACAGCATTGCGGTGGACGATGCAGATGATGCGAGTGGCGGACAATCTGATGGTACTTATCTTCTCTTCTCTTCTTTTCTTCTCCCCCCCCCCCGTTTTCATCCTGTTGCCATCGTTTCCTTCTTCGTTTTTCTTCCTCGTTTTCAGTTGTGGCCATGTTCTGGAAGCTTCGATTGAAGGTTCATTGAAGCTCGTCGTTTCGGCGCTCCTTGCAACCACCGACAATTCCCACTTGGGTGGGTTGGTGGGAACGACGTCGGGTGTGTGCGGGGCTTGGTTGTAGCAAATCAAAAAAAATAAATTGAAGAGAAAACCAATAAATAAATTACTACTATATGAGTGTGTACGTTTTTAGACACGTGCACAGACTGATTCATTTCTTCGTTTGCTTGTTTGAGATGGCTTTAATTTTGATTTTGAAATATGCATGTATCAATGTCAAAAATTCTTACTAGATAGGAATATATATCAATATATTATATTGATGCTGGAAATAAGGTTGTTTTCTTTTTTATTCAATAGTAAAAGATAATTTTATGTTTTCAGTTAAGTGCTTTGTTTTTAAATTACGCACCTAATATTTTTATAACAAAATTAAACAAAAAATAGAAACGCCCTTGGTTTGTCTATCCTAAAGATATCATGAAAAAACATTGGTAAATAATTTGTTATGAAACCATCAAATGATGTTGTGAAGAAACATTTTACCATTTTTTTTATTATTATTGTAAAAAGGGCCATGAGCCAGACAAATGCAGTTTCTTACTTCCCTTAATTAATTAATTAATTATGACCTTACAAAATCACAACACATGGGTTAGCAGTTGTAGGATGCAAACAAAACACTAAAATTTTGTTTTTAAAATTTATTCAGAAGTTTATATGGCTTTGAATTAAGAGAACCACTAGGTGGGTATCACCCTTTTATTAGACATATATCCTTCTGCCAAGCACCCTTGTGTTTACATACTAAAACTCTTATTTAACTATTTGAAAAAAATTGAATTAAATTCACAATAAAAAAATTCAAATAAAATTAATAATCCTTTAAAATTAAATGGAAGAATGACATTAAATGTGTTATATATATATATATATATATTTAAAAAATAATAAATAAATAAATAAATAAAAGAAGTGCCATGAGCTATGAGATACAAATATTTTATTGTAAATTTATTCTAAAACTTAATAGTGTAAACAAAATTTTTATTTTTTGTATGTGAGGCATAAATATGTTGATGCACTAAATTGGGGGTCTCCACCTAGCAGTTCCTTATTTAATTATATATTCAAAATCATATATTACAACATATTGAAGATTTGAATAGCACCAAAAAGTTTTTAAATTTTACTCAAACAATATTTTAGCATAATAAATACATTTTTCAAAATATAGATTTAAGTTGTCTAATTAGGGCAAAAGGTTATCAAACATGTATAGAAATTAAGAACATATTTAATAGATGAAAGACGAAATTTTAATTATCATAATTATAAATAGAAAAATAGAAAAATAAATAATTAGTAGTAGAAAAGAGAAGGTAAATGCTCACGAAAAAATATATGCAAATATTGGTAACTCTTCATTGCATATATTTGCCCACACAAGGAAACACATGCTACTAGAACTAGAACTGTGTGTATATCTTGGTACATCTTAGAAAAATTTAGTGTATATATATATATATATATATATATACAATATAATTATCTGGAATATTTTTATATTCACATACATACTCATGTATGTCAGAACATGGGTTGAACTAAAACATAATTAATAAAGTTCAATTGGCAAGTAGCATGCATTAATATATATCTAAAAATAATCATTTAAATTGCATCAAAATCAATTTAAATTATATTCTAACTTTAAATCACTAACAACCGGAGAATCAAAATCTAATAAGGCAAATACATATACATATATATGTGATGTTGTCATAATTCAATTTTTTAACAGTGAAGAAGGTGTATATCTTTAAAACATACATTAGGTGGTTACATTAAGTTGGTATCAAAACATAACAATTTACTTTCTTTAATTGAGATTTACACCTTTTTTTTATTTTTTTATTGTTAAGCTTCAAAGAGCTGCACCATATCATCAAATCACAACATTACTAATATGATTGTTTTAAAATATTACAAAACATCTTAAGAGCAACAACAAAACAATGAATGTTTAATTAAAGTATTTTGGTATAAGAAATAAATAAACAAATGAGAAAGAACAAAAATGAGAGAAAGTGAGTAAAAAGAATATGGTGCGAGAAAGAAAATTGACACAGAAAAGAAAAGAAAACTATAACTAAAAAAACTAAAAAAAGAAGTAGAGACATCAAAGTCTCTAACAAAACCAACATTTCCGCATTGCCCACCTCATGGTTACCTAAGCAACACCTCACATCCTCCCAACCAACATTACGAATAACCCTAAAAACCAAAACCACATAACACAAACTCTAATATTGTCCATGAATCACCCCCAACTAGAACCAATTACTTTGATTACCACAAAACCCCCCAAAACGACAATGCATGGCAACATTGGCACATTCCATTGGGGGAGGGGTGGTGGGGCCTTGACTATGGCTTGGGGTGGTTTGGGGCGGCTGGAAGACGACTTTGAGGTGGCAGAAGTGGCGGTGGAAGAGGCGCGGGAGGTGGATGGACGCATCACCGCCACCGCACTTCCCCCACCCCACCCCGCCCCCCCCCCCCCTCATCGTCCGGACGAGACAGAGAGTCAGAGAAGTGTCTTCCAGAAGCCCGAGGCAACGCCGTCTGATATTCTTCATCCATCCGTCTCTCCACCCAAGAGTGAGTTTCTTCCTTCCTGGTACTCATTCATCCAATTTGTGAGTTGGTAGACATTCATTCGAAGGCGGTGAGTTCGCGTTGCGGTAGCCTCGGAAGTTACCCGAAACCGACAGCTCAGCGAGGGAGGGGAGGGGAGGGGGAACTGACGTGGAGGAGGGACGGTGAGTCGGCTGGCACAACTTCCATGCCGTGGGCTTGTATTGGACGGCACCTGGGTACTCCCAGAATGGTCAAACTAGTCCAGCGCCACCGCCACTCCCTGATCCCCCCCCCCTCGCCCTGCCCGGCCCAGTCAGGGAGGAAGAGGGCGTGGATCGCTACCGCAGCACAGCAGAGCAGTGGTAGGGTTCTCAACTCCTCGTCCTCCTATATCATCTGCCGATGTGCCCTGCCTTCTTACTTACACCGATACAGCTACCGCTCTCAATTCGGCATTCACATAGCATTCGGTGGTGTGCATCGTAAGGCAAGGCAAGGTGTTGTGAGGTGAAGTGAGGTGAAGCAAGGCGAGTTATATTAGCTGAGAAGAGAGGGAAGGGATTTCAGTGAGAAAGAAGAGAGCGAGAGCGAGAGGAGGTACTGTGTTAAGGAGGTTTTGTCATACTTGAGATTGTGATGCCTGGGATGGCTCCGGCAGCATGGTGCCTCGGGGGAGTGAAGTTGGAGAGGCTAGAGTCGACGGAGATGAAGAAGTCGATAGGGGTGCATAAGATACGTAAGGATATGGAGGATAGAGATATTGATTTGAATGTGCCGTACATGGAGGAGAAGCAAGAGCAGGAACAGGAGTCGACGTCGGTGTCGGCGTCCGTGTCGGCGTCGAGCACCTCGGCGGGCACGGATGGCAAGAGTTGTAGAGTACCGTGTGACGAGGTTCATTACAGAGGCGTCTCAGGGAGGGAGGAGGAGGTGGCGTATAGGGGTGTGCGACATCGGCCTGAGCTTAATAAGTGGGTGACGGAAATTAGGCCCACGGCGCAGAAGCGGAAGATTTGGTTGGGGACGTACAAAACGGCGGAGGAGGCAGCGCGGGCCTACGATGTTGGAATCTTTTACACTGGCAAGAAGATACCATTGAATTTCCCCGATTCAATGGAAAATCTCCCCGAGTTGCCTTGCGGTAGTTGGGAGGAGATTGCTCCTTTTGTCAAGAAGCAAGCCGTCTCTGCCGCGAAGCGTCACAGAGGGTTATAAGATGTTCTTTCTGTGGTGATCTGGTGAAATTGGTCTACTTCGGGGCGAGGGCTATGGTTTTTCTTCTAATTCTCATTTCCGAATGGGCGGAGACCTTTCTGTGCATGTAAGAGTAGATCTTACGGTTTTGTTGTAGCCCGCCGTATCAGAGATGAGTCGCTATTCTTTGCCCGAGTACTTTCACGGCAACGGCAACGGCAACGGCAAAGAAATGTGCGATGAGCACGAACAATTGTGTTCTGTTCTCCAACTCATCGGCTATGCTCGAGGAATTTTTTGCAAATGACATGGAAGTTTTGTACATAGTCAGAGTAATTGTTTTACTCTTCGATTCACTATCATTCTTTGGGGTTTCTTTCTGGCGTAAGTTCCAGAAGGTCCCTGCCAGCAACATAGGGTTGCATGTAGACAGATACTCGATCCATTGTTGCGAAGGCGTTTTGCCGCAATGCACTCTGAAATTAGAAAATCTTAATAATAATAATAAAAAAAATGCGTTGTGACTAAGATCATTTTGCATCATGCATTGCGGATGATTTTCCTTTCACACCATCGATTCTGTTTCAGACTTGTCGATTTCGTGCGGATTTTCAGATTTGCCTTTAGAATTATCTTTTTTTGTTTTTATTCTTTATTTTTATGCGTACTGACATGGCTCGGAAGATGATCATAGTTCCAAATTTCGATGCAACTTTTAAATATCAATCCATCGAGATTTTTATTTTTACTTTTGATACATTTCAAAATCAATTTAGTAAAATCGGTAGATTGCTTCAATTCTCACCGCCAGCTGCTGTAATTGGTAACCTTCACTCGTAGTGAATGCTTTGGATGGAATGCCTCTGCTAAGGCAGTCTCGGTGCCTGTTAAAACCAACAACCATAGCTTCTCCCAAACACATTGCTCAATGCCAGGAATCAATTTCCGAAACATCATGCACAACTGCGCGTAATGCAAAATCTTGGAGACACTCAATCCTCTTGGCAGAAGAAGAGTCTTGTAAAACTCTCGCTCTGATTCAAGTCTCGATCGTGATGCTCAATCGAGAGACCCCTGTGGAGGGTCAGATTCTTTACTTGGGCTTCAGGATCTGACCCCCGTCTGGGGGCAAGTATCTCTCCTCGGAAATGGATCCCAGCCCTCATGGTGTTGGTACAAATCTTGCACTTTTAAGTCGCTGAAGCAGAAGGATAAGCCTGGAATTTATTTACACAACAGTATGTGCGATGGATAAAAATGTGTGGATGCATGATTTGATGATTACATCATTCACTCATTGAATCGCAATGCAAGACTACAATCAAAATCTTCAAAATCTTCACTAATTTCATGGATTTCTGGTTTTGGTTTTAGATTGTGGTTGTAAATTATAAGAATAAATAATATTCTATCAATCAATTTTAATTAGATGTATTTTGTTTCTATTATTATTTTTAACATCTTATTAAGACTTAGGTTTGAAGCCAATATTCTTTCTATTTTAAATGATATTTAAATGTATCAAAAAATCAAATACAATTATGTTTATTTTGAATATATAAAATGACTTTAAAATTGTATGACTCATTGGTTTGAAAAAAAAATAGATCTTATTTTAACATGTTGTCATGATGTAACATGGCTAATGAAAGAAAGAGTAAAACATTACATTATAGAAGATTTTATTTTAAAATATTATAGAAAATTATCTTAAAAAATAGGTAATAGTCAAAAAGTTAGTAAAACTAAAGGGTATTATTATTGTTATTTTACGAAATAGGCTTCTAGTTACTTAGTAGGGCCATAAATAAGGCAAAACAAAGTAGATTGGAAAATAAAATCATATGGGCATGTATAGGAGGAAGATAAGATTAGATTTTAGTAAAATTTACCTCAAGAAGCCAAGAATTGATACCTAAAGAGGATCGATTGTCAACTTGGATCAAAATTAGACCCTGAGGCACAAAACCATGCACCTATAGTGACTTTAGAGTTCTTTGGTAGATCAGAGAGTGGGATTTGAGAGCAGACTTGCAAAGAGATTTTTGAACATTGGTTTTATACCAATCAAGTTAATACTTAGTTTTGGGAGGATTTTCAAAGTTGATGATGTTCTCGATTGGTTTAGATTTTGAGAAATAAAATTATGTTTATATATTTGAAGATTTCTTGAGTTTTGTCATATGTATATGGATAAATTTTAGATAGAATGTTGGTCTGCTAGTTATGAATTTGTGTGCAAATTTTGAAGTTAATTGAACAATTGGATCAAAGTTTGTTAAGGTTTTTGTGGGTTGAGATCTCAAAAATTAGAATTTAAAGGTCAATACGTATTTTTAAGATCTTTAGTGATTTGTTAATTGGATTGAAGTGAATTTTTTTTGTATGGAGACTAGACTTGATTTCTAGTAGTTTAAGTGAATTTTTAGAGGAATTCAATAGTTTAAAAAAGAGATATTAGCACTAGAAGTTCAACATTTACATTGAAGTAAGAAGTCGGCTAATACCAGAGTGGATTTTAGGAATTTTCTTCTATTTGGTAATTGTGATTATCTTCAAATTTATTGTACTTGCTTTTAACTAATAAGTTGAGAGGTGTGTAAATTTTTACACAAAATCAATAATTTCATTAATAGATATTGGGATTCTAATCTACCTTAGGATTAGTTTGAGTTGATTAGGTTTTGGTTTAGAGTTTAAGATTTGTTTAGGATTTAGTTTAGATTTTAAGATTTAGTTAGAATTTGACCTAGAATTTAGTTAAAGTCCATTAGGATTTCAATTAGGATTAAAATAGGATTTGCTTGAGATTTATTTAAGATTTATTTAAGGTTTATCTAATATTTTTTTAGGATTTCTCTATGTTTCTTTTGTAATTTCTTTAAGATTTTTTTTTATATTTGATTAATGCTTTATTAAAATTATTAAAATTTAATGGGATTTTTTTTACAATTCTATTAGAGTTGTTAAGATCTTGTTGTTGCAATTTTCTTTGTACTTTCTATAATTAGATATCCAATGCATTTTCAAGCAAGACTTCATGTAATACAACAACATTTTAAGTAATGTTAAACATAATGTCAAGAACATGAATTTCAAAGTATTAAAAGATCAATACACTCTTGTGTCACTCGAAAAGATTAGGAAATTATTCAAAGGTGATATAATATTAAACTACAATAGCTATTGCTAAAGACAAGAAGACTAGAAAGTATTGAAATAAGACTAAAGATTGGAAAGGCGTTGGGAAGAGTGAAAAATGCTTCACTCTTACTTCTATATATATTATCTAATTAAGAGCTATATAACAACATTCTATAAGACTTCCAATATATGTCCAACTTGCGAGATACATGTCTAACTTACAAGACAAATTTCCTATATGTGCACCATTTGGTTAGCTTGTTTTATAAGTTATTAATATGTACAACACATTGCTAACTTGTTGGTCAAGTTTTTAATCTATCAATTAATTACAAATATGTATAAAGTGAAATACGCTTCTATGAAGCTTCTAAGAAGCTTTGCTACAAAATAATAATAAATCTTCCTATATTTATTTTATATCTAATAATTTTTATTTAGAAAAATATATATGTTTATGATATTATTCTTCTTTCTAAGGACCAGTTCCATAAAGAACAACAAGATGTGGCAAATTGTATTTGCCACATATTCTAATTTTTGTTCTCTTTGAAGGTGGTTGATAGATTCTCTTAGCTATTGATACTGTCTAATACTAGGACAAAAAGACCACCATATTATTTGAATATTGTAGATGCCTTTGTAACTCCTTTGAAAGAGAACATTTATAACATTGTTGGACAGAAGAAGAAGAGGGTTCCTACTTCCAATAATACTATCAAGCATTAAGAGTCTCTTCCAAAGTCATAGTATCAAGCACATTATATTTTGATATTTATTTAAGAGAGAACATGTTGTTTTTGAGGATCTTCATCTCTATTGTATTGACTTGAAGGTTGTGACAATTATAATGTTTCATTTGGTAAATCAAAAAATAATAGCTCTTGAATTGAATTTTTTGATTGCTAATTCTTGATCTTTTTAATGCCACAATTACACAAAAATTATAAATAAAGATAGAAGATAGAATTCAATCTTTCATAAAATATATTTCTTTATAAAAAAAGATTTAATTTACTTCATTTTTGTTTAAATGGATGTTGTCAATGAAAAACATCAATATTCTTTATTGTATTTATAAGATTCTTGGTTGACTCCCATTTGCATTCAGAAATATCATATCTAGGCCAATGAATAAGATATTTTAATAAATTTTAGTCATTGATGATAAACATAATTGGTAGAGAAAGGTGTTTGTCACATAGAAAAATATATTATGTTATTGTAAGTAAACTTTACCAATGCCAAAAAAATTATTCAATTATCTTGTTGGTAATTGATAATACACTTCAAATATTATTCCAAAACTTAATTTATGTACTATGTTTGTCCATCAATTTGAGGATGGAAAGCTGAAGATAGTTTTATGTCTATCTTTAAAATGTTAAAAATAAATTCTAAAATCTTAATACAAATTGAATCTGTCTAATTGATATAATATCTATTGATAATCCATGATAAAAATATATGTTATTAAAAAAACCTTAGCTATTTTTTCACCTATAATAGATTTTATACATAGTATAAAATGTATCAACTTAATGAATCAATCTATTATTACAAATGTAAAGTCATAAAAACCTGAGACTAAAAGATCCATGATAAAATCCATAAAAAGAAATGACCATGATTGCTCTAGAATAGGTAATGGCTGAAGAAGTCTATAAGATTGATAATGAAATTTTTTTGATCTTGAACAAACAATACATGATTGTACAAAGTCTTGAAGTGCTTTCTACATTTGAAGCCATTTAAAATCTCTAGATATTAGCTCAAAAGTCTTGTTGTATCCAAAATATCATATTGCTTGGAAATTATGATGAGCTTGAAGAATACCTAATTGTGCTTTACTTTTTAGAATATATAAATGTTTCTTA